TATATATACATATACACACATACCCCGCAATATGTTATATTTTTTGTAAGGTAGTCTATATAATACACAAAAAATAACCTAAGACAAACGTATATAAAACATACAATATAATAGCATATTATAATATCTTATAAACTTATTGTGCTACCAGCCTATATCTATATATATATATAGATATGTGTGTGTGTGTCTGTATGCCTGTATGTATTCTGACTGTATGTATGTATGCACGCATGCATGCCTGTCCTGTCTGTCTGTCTGTCTGTCTGCCTGTCTGTCTGTCTGTCTGTCTGTCTGTCTGTCTGTCTGCCTATGTATGTATGCAGATATGTATGTACATGTGTATATAGTATAATATCTAATAAAGATTATGGATTATAATACATGTATCTATACATTCATTCATACATAATACATATTGTATATGATGATTGCTTGTGGAAGCAAGGCTCCGCTATGTTAGGGGTTACAGTCGCAAAATATTTTATGTTCGAGGGTTAGGGGCTACAGGTAGGGTGTTGGGATTCATGCTTTCTGCCTAGGGTAGCAAGGTCTACCAAGCCCCGTTCGCGACCCCTAAGCCTTCAAGCCCGCCCTAGAAAAGAGTGAGTTGAGGGTTTAGGGTAGCCGGAGTCCGGTATCAAAAAGGGTTTAGGGTTGCCTCCCACAATCTGATGACTGAACTTGTGCCGGGGAAACTTATATAGAGAACTGTATGTGTATATATATATATAGATAGATACACATGATCCCGGTTCTCGGTTCGCCGACCCACCCCGGCCCGGGTCTCTTCCTTATCCACACACAATTGACCCCAAGCAGACCCAACCTCGAACCACACACCACAGGGAGGGAAGAAGCAACCCACAACAACACCACACCAGGGGGGAACCATTTGGGGGGGGGGGGTGCGGGCCGGCCGCATCGGCATCATATATGTACACACACACACATGCGTACATACATGTAGACAGGCGGACAGACAGACAGATGCAGGTAATTATATCCATATATATATATATACATACACATGCATGCATGCATGCATGCGTGCATGCATACAGACAGACAGACAGATGGACAGAGATATGGAGATAGATAGATAGCTAGTTAGATAGCTAGACAGCGATAGCGAGATAGCTAGATAGTTAGATCGATAGATAGGTAGATAGATAGTAGATAGATAGATAGATAGCTAGATCGATAG